ACATGAGCGCGATCAGTCATTCGCCGTTGATCGTATTTCCGTGCTTGTCGACGACGCCGCTCCGATCGACGTCGGTGTCGAAGACGATGCCGAGATCGGCGTTGTTTTGGAGGACCGCCGATTGTGTCATTGACATGGCGATTTTGTCCTCGGGGTTGGGGATGTGGTTTGGGAACATTCCGTCGGGGTTGAGGTGGAGAGATCCGAATGGGTCGGCGCCGAGCTTGTCGAGTACGTCCCATGTGAAGAAGCCGCCGGATCCATTGCCGGCGTTCACTATTATCTGCACTTCTTTTGTGAAGATTCATAATTCAGATCAAAATCAATTTGGGAATTCAGAAATTCAGATCAGAGATTTTGGGCTTTGTTCATAGGCCCAATTATTGGGAAATTCATAGGCGGGCCTATGAATCTATACTAACTCAAAAATCTCAAAAATCGTTAATAAAAGAAAAGGTAGGTGTGGAGTGGAGTTAAAAAATCGGATGAATCTGATCGGAATTAAGTAATTAACAATTATAAATTCATTTTTATATGAAGTGAAAAAAAAACTAATTATATTTTCAATTATGTTAAAGAAGATTTAAAAAAAAAAAAAAAAAAAAAATCGGATATCCAAAATTTGGAAATTGGTACTAAAAATGGACTAAAGTAGGGAGAAGTTGGAAATTTTATTTATTTCACTTGTCACAAATTAAAATCAGATGAGATCGGAAACCGAAGTCTCATATATATTTTAATTTCATTAAAAACAAGTCGTCAAATGATAAACCAGAAATTTTCGTAATTCGGATTGAAAAAAGTTGTTCAAAAATAATCGGAACAAAATCGGAGGATTTAGATAATTCCATTCAATTATCACCATCAATTATGGACCCTAATATGTTTTAGTTTCGGTAAAATAAGGCTCTTGAGATCTATACTCGTGAATTTCACCGGATAATCTATTATCTTACATCTACGCATATACATTATACACTGTGCACCGTATGTACGTAACGAGTGTTACTGTTATATTACATGGTATATCTCACTGGGTGTAGATATAGTTAAGCCGTAAAATAAAATAAGTGTATAATAAGTAAACATGCATGCACGAACACAATTAATTAGCTATAGGAAAAAAGTGGTGTAAATATTTGGAAAATGTTTTTAGAGAGAGAGAGAACCTGAAATCCTTGAAGAGGGGTGTCGTAATGCAAGGGATGATTAACTCTTTGCTTGATGATATTTCTGAGATGTTTGGCGTACGCGCTCATGAAATCGACTTTCTTAGGCAAAACCCTAAGTGCGGTCGACACCTTGGCAAGGCGGTTGGCGTATTTCCGGGCAGCTCTGTCGCAAATCTCCTCCACTTGCGGCGAAGTTAGGCCTCCCTTCTTTGTGAAGAATTTCAGACCGTTGCGTGTGTAGGGCAAATGAGACGCCGTCATCTGTCCAGATCAAAAGAAATTGGAAACCTTTCGAAAATTAGAATCGAATAAAAAAATTAGAATTTTCAATAACCTGATATATGCATTTCTGAAAATTATCAAAAGAAAAGTTAAAACCAAATCGAAACGAATATAACATTTTGGCTCAAAATCGACAAACTTTAAAAAACCCATTACAAGTTCCGCATTGTTTTGTCGGTGCAAACTTGTGGATTAACCCCGTCGAAGTTTATCGGGTGTATAAACCCTACCACATAGTGTGAAAATTGGACTAATTGGATCGAAATTAGCACTTTCGGAAAAAAGATAGATTTTTTTCGAAGTTAAGAACTAATTTCAATTCCGTTCCAAAAAAATGAAAATAACTTGTTTTAAAATTGGAGATTTTCGAATTAGAATCGATTTCCAATTTTTAGTAACCTAAAATATTAATATATAAGACAAAATGGTATTATAAGTGTATGTGTTGGGAAAAAAATATTGAAAAATCTGATAACTCGAAATCAGAATTTCATAACTCGAATGAAAAATATTGTTCCAAAATCGAAAAATCCCGAATCAACAGAAATAAAAAATTCCGTTCCAATTTCCACTCCCACTTCCCCACCCAATCATTTACATAACAAAAATCCAAAACTAATATATATATATATATATATATATTGGCTCCAAAAGCAAATTACTAGAAAATGAGAAATGCATGCAAAAATATATATATATATATATATATATATATATATATATATATATATATATATATATATATATATATATATATATATATATATAAAAAAAGGGACACCTACCTATATATATATATATATATATATATGGGTATATATATATATACATATATATAGCTAGATATATCTCTAGGCCCATGATAAAAATCTCACACCCAGCCCGGCCCAGCCCGGCAAACACCGCCGCGCTCAGAATCGGTCCAGAAATCCTAGGATCCCTCCCCAACGAAACCCTAACCGCCGCCGCCGCTGCTCCACTCTCCTTCTCCAACTCACCAGCCACCCACTCGCCAAAGCTCTCAGCTATGGCCTCCACGGCCGGCGGCGTCAGGTCCACCATCCGCCCTTTCTCGCCGTCAAGCGCCACCCCGCGCACGTCGGAGCCGTTCTGCAGCCTCCTGATCTTGTCCATTTCTTCGTCCACCGCCGCCGCCTCATCGCTGTACCTCTCCGCCGCCGCCGCCGCCGCCGTGGAGGAGCACTCCACCCGTAGCTGAAATCTAGATGAAGAAAAGGACGATGGAAATCGTAACTGAAACGATTTGGATTGTTTCAGAAATAACGACGGTGAATTTGTTCTTAGAGATTGAGGTGCTGTTGGAGCTGATGAAGAAGCCGCCATGGAAATTATTTTTAATTTCTTTTTTTTTTTTTGGCGCTCTGAAAATTATTTTCAAAGATTCTTTTTTTTATTATTTAAATAAAAAATTAAAAAAATAAAATAAAAAATTTATGTGTTTGGAAAAGAAGTGAAGAAACTGGGGAATAAAGATAAGATTTTTATGAGTGAAGGAGAACCTTACACTTACAAAATGCAGTTCCATGGACAGAAATTACCTGCAGACAAGCTTCCAAAACTATTTGCATCAAGATTTTTTATTTGTTTTTATTTGCAGAAAATTGCCAATTCATTTTCATTATAGCAATGGTTATATAGTATATGCTTTCATGCAGAATATTCAAACCAATTTTCATACAGTAGAACCTCGATAAATTAATAACATTGCTTAAATAACAGTTCTTTATGGTCCCGACTCGGTAAAACTCTCATAAATTATTAGTTTGATATTTTGCTAAATTAATAAAATTTTGTTGGTTTTGACTGTATTAATTTAGAGAGGCTTAATTGTAATTTTGATGTTTTTCTTAATTTTTAAGTTTTATACGACTTTTATCATGGTCCAAAGATTATTAATATGTGGAGGTTTTAATTTGGGTAAAACTTCACTTTCTTCCTTATACTTTAGCTAGATATCACTTTACCCCCTTCTACTCTCGATTGCATCGATTTGCCCCTCTTTCGGTACTGAAAAATTATCTTAATGTGGTCCTCGCCGTTAGTTTCAGGCCCTTAGACCTTAACACCGTTTGATCTAAGTCTGAAAATTACAAAAAGTAACCCCTCCCAGTTTAAATAATTATTAAAAAAATGATTAAGAAAAATAAAAAATTATGGTTGTCGTCATGGACTATGCTTTCTCGTTGTCTTGATTTTTGTACTAGTATTCTTTTGCTTTTTTTAATTTTTTTTTATTTTTTAATAATTATTTAAACGGGAAGGGGCCACATTTTTGTAATTTCAGAGTTCAGAGCGAACGGTGTTAAGGCCAAACGTCTGAAAACTAACAACAAGGGCCACATTGATACAAATTGTCAAGTGCAGAGAGGGCAAATTGATGCAATCGAGAGTAGAATAGGGCAAAGTGTTACCAAACCAAAGTACAAGAAGGGAAAGTGGAATTTACCATTTTAATTTATTAGCAATTTATGTGATTTTAGCATATTTGTTTTATTTTAATTGGGCAAATCGAAATAAATATGGAAACAGCACAAGAACATCTTAAGCCCAATGGGCTTATACCCTCATATTTGGGCCAACCCAAACATAAAAATACAAGCATACAAACATTGAAAGAAAATAAAGACTGCGGCTTCGGGGCAAGAAATCAACCACACATCGATTTGGAGCGACCCGTGGTTAACCGAGGAAGGACAATTTCGAATAATAACTCGGCTTCCTTTTCAAACAGTTTTTTTTCCGAATAAGGTTAGTGATCTCATTGATGATTTCACCCGTTCCTAGAATTTAACTATGATAGAATCGAGTAACGGCAGTTCCCATTGGTGGTATATATGCTAAAGATAAGCTCGTACGACACTCCCACCGATTGGGCAATTTTCGGTTAAATGTTGTTGGCACACTACGAAAGTTCCTAACAACAATATTACACAATAACACAATTTATTAATGTTACAATCCGTAATCAATAATTCAACACACGCACACAAACACACGCGCGCGCCCCTACGCGCACACACAAATGGCACTTATTGATGCAATTACTACTAATTAAGTAGAGAAAACACCCTTAATCAATTTCGTGTAGACCTTTGACACCTGGAAGATTAATCCACTCGATTTCGACCTCAACTTCGCCACACTCGACGTTTTTAAGCCTAAGTGTCATTTCTTGGATAAGTTTCCCTTTGTTGCACACGATAAAGCTCTCACGAGCAAGGCAATTATCGGAACTCGGCTCGACTTTTTCGACTTTGGTTCCATCCGAAACACCCTCATATCCCTTCTTCTTCAGACATTTTACATAAGGTTTAATGTCTATTTCTGCATCTCCCATTTTATCATCTTTCGTAAATGTGTCTTCGTCATACACACACTAAATAAAATCAAAAAAAAATTAAAAAAATAAAAAAATAAAAAATAATAAAAAAATTAAAAGAATTAATATAATGAAAAATTAAGTCAACAAATAATTATATATATATATAGATACCAGAATGATGGGGACTATTAGATCCATGATATAAATAGTCAACTCTTCGTTCCAAAGAGGGTTGCAGTTGTCTTCCATTACTTTAGTCTTCACCCTCTGCACCAAATAAAATTATGGTTATATATAGTTTATTACAATATAATATAAATTTATCAAGCAACAATAAAAAAAAATTAAAATAATGAGAAAAAAGTAAAACTAAAAAATAAAAGAGAAAACAATAATGGGTTTTGCGGAACAATTATTTTTCATTCCGACTTTTTAATTCCAACTTAATCCAAAAATAACATGAATATTATTTATGTATTTATATTATAGGAGACTTCAAAAATTGAAATTGGGGGAAACTTTTAATTTGCATATAAACCCTTTAAAGTAAAATAAAATAAAATAAACAGAGGAATTAGAGCACATATATATATATATATATATATATATATATATATATATATATATATATATATATATATATATATATATATATATATACCTGAGATCCACATTTGACGACGACATAAGAATCACTTGACCGAATATCACGCACAGCAAGATTGATTCCTCTGCGAACCCTAATTCTCAGAAGACCCAAAGCTTCCATTTTTCAATATTATACTTTATAAAAAATAAAAAAAGGAATGAAAAATTAAATATAGATGTAAGAATAAATAAATGCCAACTGTGTGTTAGATTCTTTAGGACAAGAAAATTCGACGCGTGCTAAATGTGTGTCTGCGGTTCCCTTATTTTCATTTGATTTTTTTATTATTATTATTTTTATACTTGGTGATAAGTAGGGGAAAATTGTATATGGTGTAGGTTTTGATTGGGAGTGTGCGTTAAATATATTCGATACATTTAATATGAAAGTGACACTATACCTATTTCTTTTTATTATATAATTGGTTATTAAATATTCGTTTTGGGTCTATTCATTGTATTGAGCTTGTGTCAATCGATCGGGTACGAATCATCTTACCAACCTCCAATCGAGCTTTGGTTGGAACAACTTAACTTGTGTCAATCGATCAGGTACGAATCCTCTTACCAACCTCCAATCGAGCTTCGGTTGAAGCAACTGAGCTTGTGTCAGTCGATCAGGTACGGATCCTCTTACCAACCTCTAATCGAGCTTCGGCTGGAGCAGCTGAACTTCTGTCAATCGACTAGATACGAATCATCTTACGGCTTACCAACCTCCAATCGAGCTTCGGTTGGAACAACTGAGCTTGTGTCAATCGATTAGGTACGAAAATCCTCTTACCAACCTCTAATCGAGCTTCAATTGGAGCAACTGAGTTTCTGTCAATCGATCAGGTACGAATCCTCTTACCAACCTTCAATCGAGCTTGCGTCAATTGACCAGGATCGAATCTCCTTACCAACAGTACTAAATAAAACTTGTCACACATGATTAACATACTACAATTTGCAAGCTAGTGTACGGACGTATAGGTTTATCCATATGATTGGAAACACGTACAAAAAAAATTCATTTTAATTTTCTAAATCTTATTCCAAAATTCATTTAAACAAAGAGCTTAATATACATACAATGTAACTAATCATTCAAAAAAACAATTTGCCCAAGTATATAATAAATTAATAATAATAATTAACTCCCAAAGAAATTAGCAGAAAGCAGAGCGGAGAAGCCACAAGAACAAAACAAAAAAATTCAAATAGCTAAAAGGAAGTTCAAATTTTATTACCACAGCATTATTATTGATATGAGCAAAACAGAAAACTGCTCATCAAATACAACATTAAAACACACAAAAACAACAAAGAGTTTGACTGAAGCAAATAATAAATAAATAAATTATCAGTGAGAAGAAATCTTCAAACTGAGAGACTTGTGAAACCAAGCCCTCCAGCTTCCACTTCCCTTTCGTGACATTGCCGACTTTTCCACTTCGTCGGAATAACAGTTCTTGGTTCTATAAATTAATAACATTGCTTAAATAACAGTTCTTTATGGTCCCGACTCGGTAAAGCTCTCCTAAATTATTAGTTCGATATTTTGCTAAATTAATAGAATTTTGTTAGTTTCGGTATTAATTTATAGAGGCTTAATTGTGATTTGATGTTTTTCTTAATTTTTAAATTTTATATGATGGTCCAAAGATTATTAATCTCTAAAGGTTTTAATTTATTAGCAATTTATATGATAACAAATTTATTTTATTTTAATTGGGTAAATCGAAATAAAGGACATCTTAAGCCCAATGGGCTTATTCCCCACGTTCGGGCCAACCCAAACATAAAAATAGCAACGCCAAGCGGTATTGAGATTCAAAGACGGGCCGGGCCGACACATCGATTTGAAACGACCTGTGATTAACCGAGGAAGGACAATTTCAAATTATTACTCGGCACCCTTTTGAAATGGTTTTTCCGAATAAGGTTAGTGATCTCATCGATCCTTTCACCCGTTCCGTGAATTTAACTATGATCGAATCGAGTAATGACAGTTCCCGTCGGTGGTATATATGCTAAAGATAAGCTCGTACGACACTTTCACTGATTGCGCAATTTTCGGTTAAATCTTGTTATCACACTACGAAAGTTCGTTACAACAATCTTACAGAAGAACACTCACACGCACACGCACATGCGCACACACATACACACACACACACACACGCACACGCACAGATGGCACTTATTGATGCAATTGCTACTAATTAAGTAGAGAAAAAAATCCTTTAATTAATCATGTAGACCACTGCCACCTGGAAGATTAAGCCATTCGATTTCGACCTCAACTTCGCCACATTCGACGTTTTTAAGCCTAAGTGTCATTTCTTGGATAAGTTTCCCTTTGTTGCACACGATAAAGCTCTCGCGAGCAAGACTGTTATCGGAACTCGGCTCGATTCTTTCGACTTTGGTTCCGTCCGAAACACCCTCGTATCCCTTCTTCTTCAGACATTTTACATAAGGTTTAATGTCTATTTCAGCATCTCCCATTTTATCATCTTTCGTAAATGTGTCTTCATCATACACACACTAAATAAAAATTAAAAAAAAAAATTAAAAAAATTAATATAATGAAAGATTAGGTAAACAAATAATTATATATATATATATATATATATATACCAGAATGATGGGGACTTTTAGATCATTGATATAAATAGTCAACTCTTCGTTCCAAATAGGGTTGCAGTTGTTTTCCATTACTTTAGTCTTCACCTTCTGCACCAAATAAATTTACGGTTATAGTTTATTACAATTTAATATAATAGTATAACCTCAATTTATTAAGCAACAACAAAAATATAAATTGAGAAAATGTAAAACTAAACAATAATGGGATTTTTTTTTTTGTTTTGGAACAATTATTTTTCATTCCGGATTTCGATTTTTCCAATTCGCGATTATTTCGGTTTTTTTTGGTTTCGGATTCCGGATTATTTCGGAACGGGAATGGAATACATACTAGAATCCGATTGATTAGTCAAAATCGGATTTCAATTCCAATTTAATCCAAAAATAACAATTAAAATATGGATATAAACAGGGGAATTAGAGAATAGATATAATAAATACCTGAGATCCGCATTCGACGACGACGTAAGTATCACTGGACCTATTATCACGCACACCGAGATTGATTCCTCTGCGAACCCTAATTCTCAGAAGACCCAAAGCTTCCATTTTGAAAAAAATTAAATGCCAACTGTGTTAGATTCTTTAGGACAAGAAAAAATTCGGCGGTATATATGCTAAATGTGTGGCTACCGTTTTTTATTTTTTTATTTTTTTATTTTCGATTATTAGGGGGAAATTTTATATGGTATAGGTTTTTATTGTGAGTGTGTGCTTTTTAATAATATAAGCATGGCAGTGACACTATAGCTATTTCTTTTGATTATTTTATATTCCTTTTGGGCCTATTCAATGTCCCATGGTTTGAAAAGGGTACAACAGGAAATTCAATTTATTACAATTTATAAACTCAAAAATAATTAAAAGATGAGCTAACGGTTTGAGCAACTCGGATTGTGTCAATTGACAAGGTTTTAATACAAAAAATTCATTTTTATTTTTTAAATCTTATTCCGAAATTCATTTAACAAAACGGCTTAATATGTACACAATATAATTAATATTTTAAAAAATCAATTTGCCCAAGTGTATAATAATAATAATAATAATAATAATAAGGGCAGATTACGGCCACCCATAAATTATTGTCGAATTACAAAAACCCTTCTCATGTTTGAATAATTACAGTCACCTCTCAACCCTTCTCATATTTGAGTAATTACTGCCACCCCTCAAATATGTTTAGCAATCTTCGTTCAGTAAAACCGAACCAAAAAAAGAAGGATGTCTCTAATTACTCAAACAATAGGAAATTTTCTGCAATTTGGTCATACCTAAGAAGGTCGGCCGTAATTTGTCCTAATAACAATGTTATCAGAACCGAACCGGACATAAAATCAGATGACTAGTGGGGTCACGGTTGAACCGGTTCAACCGTGGTTCAACCGGGTTTTTACTTTTTTTATTTTTAATTATTTTATTAATTTTAATACTTTAAAAATATTATTTTCTATTTTTTTTTTCAGAAAAGCAACCTACTTTCTTCAATATTTTCCAACTCATCCGTCATTTCCTTTATAAAATTTTCAATAAATATTTTCTTTTATTTATTTCTCACGTGACCTATCCCCTTCTCTCTCCTCCGTTACAATTGCAGAATCATTCTCCATCTTTTTTCTTAATTATTTCTCTGTCTTCACACAGATCATTATCTCCTTCATTCCTCAACCAGATCATTATCTCCTTTATTCCTCAACTTCCTTCCTTGGTCTTTTTTTATTCGGTCACCAAATTCCAAGATCCGGCCACCCAACACCAAGATCCGGCCATTAAGCACCAAGCTCGGACCACCCACGGCGAGATCCACCCAATTTTGGCTATACACGCACCATTTTGATAAAAAAACGGGTTCTATGGCAGATTCGCCGGTTCCCGGGTTTTTACCGGTCGAACCGGGTTCTGGGTTTTAAACCCCGGTTTCTGTTTTCCCCGGTTTTGATGGTTGAATCGAACCGCATTCCTGCTGGTTCACGGTCGGACCGGGCGGTCCAGTCCGGTTCTGACAACCATGCCTAATGATAATAATTAACTATCAAAGAAATTAGCAGCACATAACGGAGCAGAGCAGCAACAAGGACAAAGCAAAAACTCAAATAGATAAAAGGAAGTCCAAATTTTATTACCACAACATTATTCGTATGAGCAAAACAGAAAACTGCTCCTCAAATACAACATTAAAACACACAAAAAACACGCAAGAGTTTGACTGAAGCAAATAATAAATAGATAAATTCTCAGTGAGAAGAAATCTTCAAACTGAGAGACTTGTGAAACCAAGCCCTCCAGCTTCCACTTCCCTTTCGTGACATTGCCGACTTTTCCACTTCGTCGGAATCCTCCGTCGTCTGCGGCTTCTTGCACAGCATGAAGTTTCTTACACCAACTGATCCAATTGTCTCCCACGGGCTCAGAGCTGCAATAGAAAAAACACATACGAGTCAATCAAACCGAACACAATCAAACACGAAAAAAGTACTTCTATCTCAACATCAACGGGTTTATTGCATTCAATACACCTTGTATTTACTCTAATTCTTGAAAAAAAAAAGTCTTCTTGTTATTAAAATTAGCAAAAATCAAACAACCAAACACGAAAAGAGTACTTCAATCTCAAGATTAACGGGTTTATTGCATTCAACACTACTTTGTCCACTCTACTTCTTGAAAAAAGTCATCTTGTTATTAGTATTAGCAAAAATCGAACAATCAAACACGAAAAGAGTACTTCTATCACAAGATCAATGGTTCTTACTGCATTCAACACTCTTGTGTTTACTCTAATTCTTGAAAAAAAAAAGTCATCTTGTTATTAATATTAGCAAAAATCAAACAATCAAACAATCAAACACAAAAATGTAAACACCCTTGTGTTTATTATAATTGTTGAAAAGAGTCATCTTGTATTATATTAGCAAAAATCAAACAATCAAACACAAAAATGTAATTTTATCTCAACATTATTGCATTCAACAACCTTGTGTTTACTCTGATTGTTGAAAAGAGTCATCTTTTTGTTCATATTACCAAAAAAGCAATATATTTAGCTAAAATCTCACTATTTAGGGGTTGTGTGCTAAATAAATGCGTTATAAGGGTTTTGCTGACATTAACAATACGAAGATTTTTTCGGTATTCGATATCACAGAGGGGTGCTAAATGAAACAAACTTCCAAACAGAGGTTAAAAAAAGGAGAAGCATATAATTCAAGAGACATTATAGAATCTAAACAAGAGATTCCAAGAAGATACCAATTCAGTCAACTAATAATATCAACAACACAACAAGAAACAACCACCCCCAAAAACAATAGGCAATTGAAACAAATTAGATTAAAAATAAATAAATTAATTAAAAAAAATAAAACTACCTTCTGTTCCAGCAATTGGGCAATAGAGCATGAATTTGTTGAGATCTGATCCGAGAATCGGTAGCCTTCCCTCACGCGCGTACGATTTAAGCGCGGTGTCGATCACAGTAGCAACAAGCTCGTTCTCATTGACGACGAACCGGATCGGTCCGGCACTTCCGAGAACCGTCACGCAAACCAAAAACCGGTTCCCCTTCGAAGGCTGGCTCTTCTTCTGCTTGTAAAGCAACATCTTTTCTTCTTTTTTTTAATTTTTTTTTCTTCGATTTTTTTTTTATGAAAAGTTTTGAAATTTCGGAACGGAAAAAAGGAGGTCGGAAAATTCAATCAAAATCGGGAAAAAGGAAAAAATTAAACAGAATCAATAAATTAAAAAATCGATTAACGAATTCAGGGGTCGACGCCGATGCAGCGGTAGTACCAGCCTTCCATGCAAGATCCAAAGCAGAAAGAGTTAGCGACCGAAATCGAAATCCCCCTTCTTGACGAAGAAGAAGGGACGACCATTAATTGTGCGCCTGAGATTTCCACCATTCACAAACGAAAAAAACTCCGAATTGGGTTTTTTGGGGGCACAATTTCGCAATTGAAGAACAAAAAACACAAATCGAAGCGAATTTCTGCAGAGGAACGGCGGAGAAGGAAGAAGAGGTTTTAGGGGAATTGATTTTTGGAATGAGGATCGGTTTGAGATAAATACAGAGGAGGAGGGGGAAGAGAGACGTGTATATATATATATATTAATATATATATCTCCGTGTGTACGCAATCTCAAATAAAACTAGGGTTAGGGTTTGTTTGATTTGGTAATCTGATTTTATTTCTTTTGTTTAATTTTTTTATTTTTTAATGATTTGAAATCAATACGGCTTTTCTGCTGAGATGAGCTGGCATTTTGATGGAAGGCGGTGTAGGTAGAACAGTTGAGGGGGATTACGACGTCGTTTTGCCACGTACACGTGTCTAGAACCTTGTTGAAGCTCACTTGTTTATGTTGACGGGTAAATTACGGCCACCCCTGAGATAAAAATCAAATTACGGAAAAAAACATTATATTCGCCTTAATTATGAATCTTATTACATGTCCACCTTCGTGGTGTCAAATCTAGTAGAATCTTTTAGATTATGTTGAATATTCTTTATTTTGTGCCCGTTTTACCTTATTCGAACTCTACATTTTAAACAAGATGAACATTACATATGTCTTTTGACTTGTAAATATCAGATAATGGTGCATTATTAACTAAATTTTTTTTTCAAAACGAGAACAAACTAGAAAACATTCCACAGAATCTAGAAAATTGTATTGAGTTTGACCACAAAGGTGGACTTGTATGAAGATTTTCAGTGGTGATTATAATTATTCAAACATAAGGTGCATTTTGTAATTTAACCTTACCTGGATGGACTGTAATTTACAATATTGGCTCATGGGACAATAAATGATAGTAATAATAAACAAAAATAAATGCTTTAAAATTTTGAAAACATCTAGCGAAAATATACGATAATAAATGAACAAAAACATGGAATAATATCACATGGCATTTAGAATGTGATCCGATTTGGAAATCGTACGTAATAATCTCATGTTCCTAAAATCGTGGTTAGGACAATTGACGATTGTTCCACTAAATCAAAGTTGACGATTAGCACATGGTTTTGAGGCAATTCAAAAGTAAATGGAACACCACTATGGAATATACTTTTTCTTAAACATTTTTTGCACAAACACTTGTCAATTTTACCTGACAAGTTCAACCCATGCCATTAGTTTCAATATTTTAATTTTGATCATAATATTATTATTATTGATAGTGTTAGTTTGGTAATGTTTGGCCAAACTCTTCATATTGAGCTTAGTAAATAGTGTGAAGACATAATATATGGGCCGAGTGAGGATTTATCGGACCCACAAGCCCAGTGCGCATTATAAATGATGGTGGTCAGTTTGGCAAGTTTTCTTCAAAGTTGGGCCGTTAAGACGAAATAAGGTGAACTATAAAAATTAAAGGGATTTGAGGGACCAAAGGCCCGTTACCAGAGATTATAAACAACAAAGAGCTCGACACTAGAAAAGAGAAAAGCTCGATACTAAAAAAGGCACCGGCCAAAAGATGTGTTCGCCGGTGAAATGAAGATTCGAGGAAAATGTAGTAGTTGGCGAGCTGGCGATTAGCCGTTGGAAGAGCAAGACATTGGATTTTCATATCACATATAGATTAGGAAAGTAAACATTAGTTCGTCTTTGCCGACTAAATACCAGCGCCAGATGTACTCTCCGACGAACGGAGAGTTGGATTTAAAATTATTTTGTTTAAATTTTTCGCGGATAACATTTATTTTTTATTGAAAGTAGTCCTAATTCAAATCTTTATATAAGAAAATAAGAGGCATTTTGACCAACTTTGACTTGTTTTATTTTAAGTGCAGCTTAATTACAGAATATTCAGTTTTTTGAATAGTGCTTTTATTTTATCATTATTAGTTGGTATCAAATTAGTTTATAAATTACTGATAATTCTGAAATAGGTATTAAAACACTTGTCAAATATCCTCTCACAGATTCACATGGAATTGTATTACAGTATTTAATATCTACAGAATTATTTGATAAAGTAATACATGAGCATGCGTTGGGCTTGGGTCGGATTGGATCGGACAATTATCGGTCAATTACATACTTGATCTGACCATTCGATTTTGTGAATATTTAAAACTATTACTGGCCCAACTATTATTGATCCGGTAATAGTTGCCAACCAACTTTGTTCGGATATCCAACGGGTCGGTTAATGGATAAAACCGACCCATGCCCAGCGGGACATGTGAGTCACATGTATTACCTTACTGTATATTAGATGGCGGTGCTTGTCCGCATCTTGCAGGTGAGATGTCATTTTATGTCCCAAAAATTTAATCAATTTCTCTTTTTTTTTTTTTTTTTTTTTTGTTTATACTTTTGTTTTCCCTTTTTTTTCTAATTTTTTTTCATCAAAATTAAAAAAAAACTGTTTTAAATATTTACCCCTATATTAAACAATATAATTGAGTAGTCCATTCGTAGACACCGACTTCTTCGACCCTATCCGGTGATAAACACCGGGTGGATCTTCTGCTAGCACGTGTCATTTTTTGTATTTTATAATATATTCTCCCACTTAAGTTATCGTCTAGAGATATTTTATAATATATTCAAATAATATTTGAATAATAATAATAATAATAATAATAATAATAATAAATAAATAAATAATATTATTATTATTATTATTATTATTATTATTATTATTATTATTATTAAAAATTTCACTTTGTTAGGCATTGATGACGTAGGACTTCCCGCGTTGGAGAAAAATGTGTGACAGGTTTATGGGATGATATTGACTGAAAACAATGCAGCCCACTACAACAGACTTCTACCAGAAAAATTTACATTTGTGTGCCTACATCTTTACCTAATTGCAATTTTACCCTTTCCCAATGTTCGAAAATAGAAATATTCGCCCCTACACAAACTCAAAGGGGGGAAAAGGAAAAAAGTAAAAGAAAAGAAAACATTATATGCTTCTGAAAAGGAATCTTGATGCTTCACCAAAAATGCTATATATATGTTATGGATTGCAGGTCGAAATTGGATTGGAAATTCGAAATTAGGTCAATTCTTGTTCGAACATTTTTCGATTATAAAAACAAATTTTTCATTTCAATTTTCGGTCTTTTCAATTTTTTGGATTGCAATCTGAAATAATTCACAAATTTCCAGGAAAAAAAAAATCAAAATTTATAATTATCCTATCAATATTATTATGTTTCTTATAATTAGAATAATAGAGATTTTGATTTGAATACAAAGTAAAACGTTATAGAACTAAGGGTAAATTACAGCTACTATCCTTGAGGTAAGGTCAAATTATGGAAAACTCCCTCTTATTTTGGGTAATTACGACCACTCTTCAATTATGAATGTTCTTACATATCCACCCTTAAAGTGTCAAATTCAATAAAATCTTCTAGACTCCATAGAATTTTCTCTAGTTTGTCCACATTTTGTGCAAAAAATGCAGTTTCATATGCACCACAATCTGATATTTACGAGACAAAAGACATATCATCTTATTTCAAAATGTGGAGTTCGAATATGATAAAACGAGTACAAACCAGAGAATATTCCACATAATATAAAATATTCCACTAATTTTGACACTGCAAATGTGGACGTGTAAGAAGATTCATAGTCGAGTGGTAGTTATAATTACCCAAAGAATATGAGATTTTTTCGTAATTTGACCTTACCTTCGGGAATGGCCGTAATTTACTCTAGAATTGAACAACAAAATAAATAAATAATATACAATTTGAAGATTAATTTGTATGTTTTTTAAACCATGAATTAATTGTATGTAATGAGCATGAAACATGCAAGTAGTGATGTAAATGTAGGCTGTTATGGGCAGGCTTTACCTGGTTTCATATTTGTTATGGGCTTACAAATAAAATCTAATTTATTTAAAACCCCTTACAAATATTTTTTTCTTAGTTGAATCCTTTAGGCCTTGCAACGAAATATCATATTGTCAAAATTAAAGCCCATCTTCTTTTCTTTTGGGCCGTCCGATGTTAGAATATTGAAAAAGCCCAATGTTTTTAACAGAAAATCTTATTACCTAAATAATTGCTTTTTTATTTTTTTATACGAATTTTTCATTTTATTCAATTATATATCCAATGTGACAATTTTGTAGCCATGAGAGTGACAACAGAACAAGGCATTAGTTTCGAATTTCTTTCTCAAGTTGCTAGACAGAATAAATAAACAAGATAATATTTTTTTTTTATATATATATATAATAAATATATAGATATGTAAATATTTTCCTACAATTTGATGTGACATTTCAATTACATATTTATTACACAATGACAATCAGACAGACTGTGTTATGGATTCATTGTTCCACTTTTAATCCAGGTGCAACTATTTTAAAATTAACTAATGTTAAAATGTGCACATCAATTTTACACAGGGGTGGAAATTAGACGAAATTGAACGGTAATTGTTTTTTTGGGATTTTTCATTTTTCTTTCTGAAGAGTAAAAATAAGTTACGATTTTCAAAAATCGGAATGAAAAATACAGTTCGTTCCGATTTTCTCCCCTATTTTTATTCACTACACTACTATGCTTTAATAAAAATCCAATGATTATTGTTTCTTTATTCACTTTTCCCAATAATAAAAAAAACACATTATTTAAATACAAAACTCATGTATTAGTGCTCTACTTTACAAAATTGCGTCAAAATCAAAAGAGTCTTTTGCTATTGGTTGGCATCAACTAATATATAAATACATAAAAATAAAATAAAATTTAATTTTCTTTTTGTGGAACTGAATTAAAAGCATTTTTCATAGTGGAAATATGTAGTAGTGGAAATTGACCCAAAATTGCAACCCTACCCGACATGCCCAACTATTACAACCCCACGAGTGATGTTGACAATTTAACCTCCATTAGAATGTTCTTTATTTACAATTGTCAACATTTTCCAATCTTTTTTTTTTTTTTTTTTTTTTTTTTTTTCTCTATTGTTATTTTCAATATTTGAATTTTTGCCAAGTTCAACATATGTAGTTTGACTTGGCTTTGATTTTCTTTAAAACCGGCCATTAATTAATTTCCACTCATTTCTTGCACCAACTTACCGCCCCCAAAACGAGCTATATGCAGGCGCACAATTTTCACTCGTTTATGTGTAGAAAAAAAATTGAACAAATTGAATTAAGTTGCATGTTTCATAAATTGTGGGACTTGTAATAAAAGTTAGGGTAAATTACAACCACCTCACTGAAATAAAGACTATTTATGAATAAAATAATCTTTTTTGTTTTCCAGATATTATATTCAGATCCCTACAATTTGTAAATTCCTTACATAAACCGCCGAAAAAAAGATGTTAATATAAAAAAAAACTACGAAGTGCAGAGGTGAATGTAATTATGAAAAATGAGGGACTTTTTGGTAAATAGACCATACATCAGGGACATATCTAATACGGGGAAGATACAATTTTCATCCCTCAAATTTGCACCGATTTCACCTTTGATCCCCGTGTTTACAAAAAAAAAAAATATTTGGTCCCTCATGTTTCAAAAACTCAACATTTTTGGTCATTTCCGTCATTTTTCCATTAAGACTAACGGAATCAAACGTGGGGCCATCATTACCCTAACTGACGGACTAACGGTAATTCGACGAAAATGACCAAAAATGTCAAATTATTGAAACATGAGGGACCAAATATATTTTCTGTAAATATGAGGTAACAAATGTGAAATCAGTACAAACTTGAAGAATGAAAACTATAAATTTACGAAAAGTAATATCCTAAAAGTTATTGGAAAAATTTACTTTAGATTTGAAGTGGATTATGATGTGATAGGCCAACGAATCTTGTAGGAAATTTTATGCTTAAGACGGCCAAATTTAATATTACAACAATTTTGCATGGCCGCAATAATCTACAATTGCACACGCCAAAAGCATTAAACTTTTCATTTTTTACGTATTCGGTCCAATATCTATGGAGTAATATGATAAAAACCCCATTTTCCACTTCTTACTTATTTTATGTTCTTTAGTGGAATAAAATTGCATCTACATTATTCAATAGAAGCTAGTGCCTTTAAAAAAAACATTGCACAATTTATTTCATTACACATCAGTTTTGTAGCTGCTATACTCGATAAAATATACCAGGTGATTCTGCTTATAGATTTATATTACAAAATCACCCGATATTTTTCATCTGGTGGTAAATTACATGCTTACATATGTTTTTTATTTCCTCTTACGGTAAATATAAAAGTAAAATGTTTTATTGCTTATTATGAAACTAAATTTAGTAAACTAAGATTTTGATTGATTTATAATAACTTAATAAGATATAATTGTGTAATTAAGGTTAACTTTACAGAGAAAACTAGGTCTTAATGTAATAAATTAGTAATAAACGTGGGTCGTTATTGGATAATGCTGTCTAATGGTCCATAAATTATGTGCAGATGCATCGAATTGGACCACAAACATTTTATTAATTTCCACGTCACCAAACGGCCGGCAAAATTATACTTTATTATATTTAAAATATTAACAATGAATTTAGCAATCGTATGATAATATGTAATTAATAATTTTGCCTTGAAATTTAAAAAGAATAAAAAATAAAACTAAAAAAAGATACTTGAAAATATTCCTAGCCTAAAAGGTTAATCTAACATTAGATTATAAGATTATTTAAGTACGTAACAATCATTAGTGACTAGATCATTAATGTTTGATGTTGATTACCCCTCATAAACTATGATTATTATATTGTTCGAAAAGTCACATCTTTGAAGTTTCAATTCCCCACCATTGATCATTTTTTTTTCTAAATTAATAAATTAAATTAAAAGGTGGTGTCTAATAAATCGGAATTCGATTCTTCGATTCAACCAATATTTTCTAGGTTAAGCTCGTTGCACATAATTCTAGGTTAACATTTGAAGGAACGCGATCTCTTACTGACTTAATTGCTTTAAAGTATTGAGTTAATTATCAACACGTGACATTATCTGATTTAAACGTTATAGTATAATCGCACCGGGATTTCTTGAAGTGTCAGATAGTGTTTTAAGTGGTTTTGCAGGAAATTCCTGAACGACTATACTTTACGCAACGAGTATCGCATACTTATAAAAACGCAAATGTTGTGGCATTCGAACCAGCATTCTTGAATAAATTTTCAAATTCTAAACCTTTGAACTACTCGTTTCAAGAGATTTTGCATCAATTTCGGTCAATTCTTTATGGGTATAATAAATGTATACATGCTTAAAAATTGCAAAATTTATTGCCAACTTGAGATAATTAAGAAGAAAATAAGAGAGACAAAATAAATTGAGTTGTTAGTTTTACGTCAACGTCAACCCATTCTGGATTTTCACTTAGTCAAACTCCCGGCTGGATATATATACATGCAATTTCTGGATTAGTTGAAATTCGGCAATTTCAGATTCCAATTCCAATTCTGTCAATTATGGAATAAGAACGAATCACACCAGATTATACCAACTAATTAAAATAAATAAATAATAATATTAATATTAATCCCCCATTCAAGAAATAGACCTGATCGATAGCTATAGGAATTTAATTTGTTTAATGCCCTAATAATCATTCAGCTACACTAAATTATTAAGACATCCAGCTCATTAATATATGCTTTAAACATAGGTATTTAAATTTAAATAAATTCGTTGTGACCTAGGAGTATATATATGATGATTCCCTTAATTATCGGTTGTACAATTATTGCATCATTAATTATCTTCGACATGTTATTTAAAGCTTCAAAACCCTTTGGTAACTTCATTTTGAAGAATGAATTGCAATTAATGGCTTTGTATTAATGGTGTACGAGATGCTAAACCTGGTGTAACATACAGATTGATTTTGAACAATTGATCTATATAAATAACTAGTCGCTAAACACATATACACATAAGTGTGTGTTATTACCGTATGTATTTCGTCGGGTGTAGCATCTATAAAACCGTAATTAATACTCAGATTAAAACCCATTGCATCCTATGGGTTTTAAAGAGACCAATAATACAATATTGAAATTTTAAGTTTGTGGACTATTTTTTTATTTGATTTTTTTTAGTAAACATAAATTTGATGTAAATATTTATAAACAACATTGTAATTAAACCACCACACAAGGGTATATCCCATGATATTCAAGAATCCAAAAAGAGTGGTCTCTTTTTATTATGAAATAAAGCTATTCATAATTCATAAATACACATCATATCTATTCCACACACTCATCACTGAGGAAATTACAAAGATTCCACAAAAGCAAATTCACTTTTAGAAAAACCTAACAAAATAAAAAATAAAAATAAAAATAAAAATAAAAATAAAAATAAAAAGAAAGAACAAAGATCATTTTTTTTTCAACTAGGGAATGAAAATGAAAGGAAAAAATGAAAAAAAGGGATAGAGACACACACTACAGAAGTGGTGGGGTCTCACTCTTCAACTAAGGCGTAATTTTCATTTTTTTTCACCCACAGCTCAGCAGATCAACACAACCCTTATCAAGAAACGCGCCACCGCGTCAACCCAGCGAGTCGACTCAGTGAGCCTAGCTCAATTTCCAGGCCGAGGTGGCAATCAGTGGCCTGGTATGCCACCCCAACATCAAACAACCACCGTTCTCCTCCACCATATACCCATCCCCACCAGCAAACAACGCCAGCAGCATACTGGCTTGCTTGTAAGCGTTCGAACCCAAATGAACCGGTACAAACCCGGCCGAGTCGAACCGGGTTCTCCACTGAGCCAGTGTTTCATGCCTCTCGACCCGGTCCACACCCTCACAAGCCACCACATTGCAAATCTGCCTCCCCAAGTACACCTCCGTCATAACCTTATCCTGAACGCTCACCGCCTCTTCTGCGGCGGCGGCGGATCCGCCGCCCCCGCCTCCGCAGCTCTCCAACGAATCGAAAAGGGTGGAGTAGTAGTGCAGAGACTCGGTGAACCGGTCCAAGAAAACAGCTCCGTTGTGATTAGCCTCTTGCTCGACGACGGTCAAGATTTCGGGCTTCAATTCACGGACAACTTGCAGAACCTTCTCGACGGCGCCGGGCCGGGCCATCAACTGGTGCAAGTCGAAGATTGAATTGACCGCCACGGTTTCGCCTTCCCTCACATCGAACATGGACGCGTTCAGATCCGCGAGGGAATTAGCGACGAAGCCCCTGTACTCGAATTCGACGTTGATAGTTTCCGCCAGCTGCGCCAATCTCCACCCAACTTCCTGCAAGTGATCCGTGTCGTCGTGCGAAGGCGGGCCGATTCCGGTTAACCGGAAACTAGGAGGGCCGCCGGGCCTCAACGCCAGAGCTTGCAGGAGGGCCGGCCACTGCATACCTTGCTTCATGCTGAAATCGATGACGTGGACTCTGCTTTTGCCCTCGAACGCTTCGAGGATTGCTTGGTTCGCCGTGAAGTGGGCGAATTTGAGATACGGGCACGTTTCGTAGAAGTGCATTTGGAGCAAATCGGTGAAGGCGGAGTCCTGTGGGTTGGTTGGGTACAGCCTGTAGATTCTTCTGGCAAGTGCCTCCGCGAAATACGTGGCAACTTTCCTCATCGCGCCGGGCTGTGAAACTGCGAGGAATCCGATGTTCTTGACCAGAGCTTCGGCGAGTTTGAAGTTCTCTTGCTGTACGGCCTCGGCGCAGGCTAACAGTGTGTGGACGAGGCGGACGCCGTTCTCCTGTGAGTCGAGGAGGACTACGGGCCGGGCCGATTCAACGGGCCGCGCGAAAACCGGATCCCTATGAAGCGCTGATACGGAGTTGCCCAGAGACGGCGACGTTTTGAGTTTCTTAGCTTGCGGCTGATGATGCTGATGCTGCTGCGGCGGCGGGGGAGGAGGGGGTTGAGTTCTGGGGTAAACGGCTTTTCCGGGTATGGCGATGAGATCTGACCCGAAATCCAAGTCAACCGGCATACGAGGACGGCTGTCGAAGCTGTTTGTGGTGGTGGTGGTGCTGGTGGTTAGGGTTGGGGATGAATCGAGAAATGGATTATCTAACGAGGAGTCGAAATCCGGCATCGGATTGAGGCCGGAAATCATGGATTCAAGCCACGACGAGAGATCGGAGGGGTTGTAATGTACGGTGTCGGAAGCGAGCTGAGAAAGGCCGTCCTGGCGGACGCTGCCCATCACCTCCTCCAACTGTTCGATCTTATGCGCCACCTCCGCCATGTCCGACGACTTGACGTTGTAGCCGAGAACAGCAAAGAGCTCGTCGACTCCGCCGCCGCCGCCGCCGCCGTCGTCGGCATCGCACGGCCACATCTTGGCTTTGGTGGAGGAGCTGCAGCTGCCAGCTGTACTGCTGGAGAAATTGTCCTGATTCATACTGTCTCTCTTCATCTCTTTTTCAGAGAAATCGAAAATCAAAATCAAATCAAATCGAAAGAAAGCTAGCTTGGTGAATGGGTGGATTAGGAGAAGAAAGAAGAAGAAAAAATTAGGGCAGTGGGGATTGGGGGAAAGGGTGCTTGGTTTTTCACATATGGTATGGCCGCCTCTGTTTCTGGGTTTTAGAGAGAGAAAGTGAGAGTACTGTTTTGCAGTGTGTGCGCTTTGGGGAGAGAGAAAATTAACTGGGTGTGTATCAGAAATCAGGGACTAGAATAATAATAATAATAATAATACAGGTACGAATAGGAGAAGAGAGAGAAAGAAACTAGAGAGAGAAAGAGGAGAGAGAAGAGAGAGAAAGGGGAAAAGTTCTCGTGAAGAGTGGCTCGTCTTTCAACACTGTAACTATATTATTATTACTGGCCAAACCCACTCTACTCTGCTTTTTTACCATTGCTAATAATTTCTTACACTCTCAGTAAATAAGATTAAAATGTTTTTTTTTTAAATATGTTAGTTTAAATTCCAATTTCCCCCCTCGTACTTTGGCTCTGTATTATTTTACGCCGTCCTACTATCGATTGCATTGATTTCCCCCCTGCACTTAAAAAATTGTCTCAATATGGCCGTCGCCGTTAGTTGGTAGACCTTTGACCTTAATATCGTTTGATCTAAGTCTGAAAATTAAAAAAAACCACCCTCACAGTTTAAATAATTATTAAAAAAAAAAAAAATTATTGTTGACGTTGCGGACTATGCTTTCTCGTTGTCTTGAATTTTTTATTATTCTTTTTGTTTTTCAATAATTATTTAAACTGGGTGAGGTGGATTTTTTGTAATTTCATAGCTTTAACTATACGGTGGTATGTCAAATGTTTAACAACTAACAGCGATGGTCACAGTGAGATAATTTTTCAAGTGCATGGGGCAAATCGATAGAATCAAAAATATGAGGAGTAAAGCAATACCAAGGCAAAGTACAGGGGAAAAGTGAAATTTACCCCATATATTATTGAAACTATAAAGTAGTACCAAATGAAAAGCTTAAAGAATTCTAGTTAACTAGGGTTCGGTTTTAATTACATCATTAAGACATAATTATGAGTTTTGCAGTTCGAGAGGTGGGGATAATCTTCTTAACTCCATCTAGTACATTCCAAAAGTAACATAGAACAATTACTAAATTACCCTTGTTCTATTTTATAATTTGTCTTCATAAATTAATTAAAGTTCTATCTATATATATATATAGTTATATATATATATATATATATATATATATATATATATAGCCTTCTATTTTTCTCATTTAAATCATTATTTTTCTTCTCGTAAATTGGAACTTGTGATGATAAAGCTGTTGAAATGAATTAATAAAGTATATATGAATAAAAAATTGCTTGGATTTGAGGTTAACTTCTGAATCTACTTAGTCAACTATCTACATTTTAAATATATATTCCATAACAAAAGATAAAAAGGATTACCTTGTAACTTTGCTTTTAGAGGATGAAAATTTACTTTATCAGAATTTTAATTAAATATTCACTGACAATTTAATCTTTTTATTATTATTTACAGCTAGAAAATTAAGGGTTTTGAATTTCACCTTTATTTTTTTTTATTTTATTTTATTTTATGTTGTTGAATTTTGGATTAACTTTGATAATATCTATGCAAATGCACTGAGGCTGAGGTTTTATATCAGAATCCCCGTGTGCAAGAACGTGCAAGAAATATTCCGAGGCTATTAATTAATTTATTAATTTTAATTTACCCAAGATATGCTTTTAGTAGTATTATTATTAATTATAATTAATTAAGTAATTAATTAATTTTAGATGTAGCTGTCAAGAACGCATAGAAAACTTAAGACAGTTTCAGCTTTATTCTTTTGGTTAAACATGAAAGATAGAATTTCGTGTCTTACCCTTTATCCCAACTATCAATATTTTCGAATTCAAATTATACAATACTTATATATTTATTTTTTTAAATCTCGATTTTATGAATACCTCATATTAATTAAGTCTAAAATAAAAAAAAAACAATTATGTTTAATTATGTCTAAGCTAAAAAAAATTAATCTTAGAAACTTCAAATTATATGCTTAAGATGCTCTAATGGATCCACTAGTTACATGGGACTCAAACATTTTAGCTATCGTGCTCGATGGAAGCGAGCTCTTGACCCATCTGAATCTCCGTGGGCGAATTTGCATGGTCCACGTTACTCTCTTCCCCTATTCGGCCTCCTGCCCAATATGTCGAGCAGGTGGGGGTACGGCCCATTTGTCGAACGTATGGTCGTAACGCCATCAGAAGTGTTCGAATCGTTCTGCTTACGCGTGTAGTGACATACTTTAATTTATAGTAGCAATATGTAGTGGTGTGTCTACGATGGATACTCACATGATTTCAAACTTGTACTAACCGTTTTGCAATAATTAAAAGCTATTTATTTTTTTCTTCCTTTTTTTATATAATTTATGGAGTATTAATCAAGTAGTAAATTATACTATTCAAGTAGAATAACATATGGACTTCTTGAAAATAAAATTGTTATTCTTATATTTAATTTTTGTGGTTGGTGAAATTTTATTAATAATTAGGGATGTGAATGGGTTTGAGTTTGACATGTTGAGAATGCAATTATTCGAGTCGAGTTTTTGTAAGATGAATAATTATGAGAAGAACGGTGGAATTAATATTTAAAACGATTTTTTTTTTTTTTAGAATAGCTAGTTAAATCGTAGTTAAAATTTTAAGGGGGTGATATTTTTATTCACTTTGTATATACAAAATCTATATTTTTATAAGAATCATAAAATAAATTTGAAGTATATATTTTCCTTAGGAATTAAAAAATATATATTATTTAATAGAGTTAGACCCGTTGACTTCGAGTCCGACTAGGGGCTGGGTTTAGGTATCTGAATTTCATATTTTTCATATTCAATATATTTTTCATTTTTTTATTAATAATAGGGTAAATTACAACCAGAGGTAAGTTAAATTTACAAAAGAACCCCTCTTGTTTGGATCATTACATATAACCCCCAACTATGATTTTTTCTTACATCTCCACCCTTATGGAGTCAAATTCAACATAATCATATATATTTCGTGGAATGTGCTATAGTTTGTACTTGTTTTGTGTGAAATGCAGTTTCTCGTGCACCATAATCTGATACAGGGGCATACCCAAG